TTTTAAAGTTAATGAAACGAGCAACGTGTTATTTTTTACCTGATCACACACATGTGTCGGTGTTGTGCGATTTACACACTGATGCATAGCTGATATGGCACATTGTAGGATCTAATGATTTTTTTCATATCAATATCTGTTACCAGTAACCTGGTGCTGATTTGGTTGATGCATGTGCTCGTATAACAATTGCTAAGATCGATACGTTTCATGCCAATAACTGGATATTCAGGTCCGGACTCAATTATATACAGATCGCCTTAATATAGCTGGAATATTGCCAAGTGAGGTGTTAAAAAAACAATACAAATCACACGTGTGTCCATACCTGCAATGCAAGCTTTCAACTGCAGCGAACAGCAGAAAGTGGAAGCAGCTGTAAAATCGCTGAAAAAGGTGAAGTCAGCAGGAATGGATAATATCCCAGCAGAGCAGGTCCCAAGCAGGGGGAGAAGCAATGATCACAACCCTCCCAACCATCTGCAACAAGATCTGGCAGACAGGGGAGTGGCCAACACCGTGGACCCAGTCACTTATCATCACCCTCCCCAAGAAAGGCAACCTACAACAGTGCCAGAACTACCGCACGATCAGCCTAATAAGCCATCGCAGCAAAGTCATGCTAAAGATCCTGCTAAACAGATTGAAGCCACAAGCGGAGAAGATCATCGCAGAGGAACAAGCAGGTTTTAGACCAAGGCGCAGTACAACAGAGCAAATCTTCAACCTCAGGATACTGTGTGAGAGGTACCTCCAACATCAGCAAGACCTCTACCACGTCTTCGTGGATTTCAAGAAGGCGTTTGACCTAGTATGGCATGCAGCTTTATGGGCCACCATGAGGTTGTATAACATCAATGCCAACCTGACCCGAGTGATACGGAACCTCTACGACAAAGCCACCAGCGCAGTTTACTTCAACAGCAACATAGGGGACTGGTTCAGAACCACAGTCGGAGTGAGGCAAGGCTGTTTGCTCTCACCAACTCTCTTCAACATCTTCCTGGAAAGAATCATGACTGATGCACTTGAAGACCACAAAGGAACAGTCAACATCGGAGGCAGAGCAGTCACCAACTTACGTTTCGCCGACGATATTGATGGCCTAGCAGGAAAATAAGAGGAGCTAGCTAGCTTAGTGGACCACCTTGATAAAACCTCTAGAGCCTATGGCATGCAGATCAGTGCAGAGAAGACTAAACTGATGACCAACAACACCAATGGCATCAGCACTGACATAAGAGTGGATGGCAAAAAGCTAGAAACTGTCCACAGCTTTAAATACCTGGGAGCAATTGTGATAGATGAGGGATCCAAACCCGAAGTACTCTCCAGGATTGCACAGGCGACAGCAGCGCTCACAAAACTGAGGTACATCTGGAACGACCAGAACATTGCACTCGGCTCAAAGATCAGACTGATGTGTACCCTGGTGACATCAGTACTCTTGTATGCATGTGAATCGTGGACCTTAACAGCTGAGATAGAAAAGAGAATACAGTCCATTGAGATGAGATGCTTTCAAAGACTCCTGGGCATCTCCTACAAAGATCATTTCACGAACGAAGAAGTTCAGAACAGAATCAGGCAAGTCGCTGGGCCTTACGAAGACCTGTTGACCTTGGTCAAGAGACGCAAGCTCAAATGGTATGGCCATGTCATGAGATCATCAGGGCTTGCCAAGACATTCCTGCAGGGCACAGTGCAAGGAGGGAGAAGGAGAGGCAGACAGAGGAAGAGATGGGAGGACAACATCCCAGAATGGACGGGCTTGAGGTTGAGAGGTACAATCAGGAGGTCAGAAAACCGAGAGCATTAGAGGATGCTGGTTGCCAGATCACCTGTGACGCCCCAACGGTCCACAAGACTACGGGATAGATAGATAGAGATAGAACAGCAGAAAGCTGTTTGTTGTCATTTATGTCAGAGACCATATATGTTTGTGTATTATCCGTATCTGATTTGCATAAACGTATTCACAGCACATAACGCTAACCAGGCATAACCACAACATACTATTCACCTGCCTTTTAACATGTCAATTAAAGTTCTTTTATCTGTCAAGCTTATGTTGTTGAAGACCGATTATGACCTGGAGTTCAAACATGTGCATGCAAGCAATATTTCGAGTAATTGGTAATGTTACATAAATAATTCTATTATCTGAATATGTTTTTTTACCATGTATGACTATCTCCCCATTTTGTCATGAGTTGCCCTTTGTATAAACAGTTACCATTTCAGCATATTAAGCAATATTATTAATTAAAACCGTCAATTCTAAAATGTATACAATTGTATCAATGTGTACTGCGGCTAGTCATGACTAGGGCTAATAGAGTATGTTTGTCTGATGTCATCTCATGTGCTGCAAGTATCTCACTGTTTGGTATAATCATACGTCATCACTGTGAGCTTCACAACGTTGTTGAATTATATCAGTGTTCAAACAGATCGAAAATAGATATAACTGACACATGTACAGTATAATATTATTTCTTTTAATAGTTCATATAACTAGGTCAATAATTATCGTTGACAGAAACAAGCATAATCATAACCGTCTCTTTGGTTTCACCAGGTTATACATATATCAGTAAAAACTATATTTATCACCAGAGCTTATGGTTACATACTATAACAATAATGTAATGTATATCCACGTGCACTGTAAGACAGGAGTGTCCATTTGTTGTTTGAACAGTTCGTTTTCTATAACTATTAGTATAATAATGTGTTAATTCGATTCAGTAGAATACCTACATGTGTTAACCTGAATATTGAGGCCAAATACACAACGACTGAATCTATTACCAATGTGTTTAAAATGTTCAAAATACATGTGTAAAATGTTCTCCAAATTTGCTCCACGCTCCTGTTTTGGTTACTCAATCAATCAATCTTTATTTTCTTTGTAGTGGAGGCCAGAAGACAATACAAAATATACAAAATGAAATATGATATTATTGGCATAGAAGTGAATCTCTAAGTTTCATTGCATTGTGTATATAAATAGCTAGGTTTTTACAAAATATGGCTTGCCAGTTGACATGAGCATATTAAACTTATGAATAGTGGGATTCGAATAAAATTTATGTGGTAAATACAAACATCTCAGATTTTAATAACATTTACATACCAAAATAAAATGAAATTCATTTTCAATAAAGTTATCTTTACATACAAAACATAATCTATTGATCTGGGTTGATTAATATATCGACCGGTTTCAATTTGGAGGCGGTGTGAAGAACATCTGAATTTAGCAAGGGCCGATCGGAATTTTGAAATTGATAAATCTTTTATGTAAAATTCAACATTAAATGAGATTTTAAAACAAGAATAAAGTGAAAATTTAGGAACTATTCTTGTTCATAACTTGCTCTTAGTCTAAAAACAAATTCTGATATGAATTTATCGACATTACATAAATTTTGCTGCTGTTCCCACATAAAGCCAAATCCAAAAGAGTAAAGAATATTCTTAATTTTTATGCCCAGTTTGTTTTACCATTTACAGAGTCTAAAACTAACATATTATGACATTGCTATAACATGTTTTGGTTGAAGTGTGTATGGAAGAGAGTTCAGGATCTGTTGGATGATTGTGCCTGTTGCTCATCAAGCAGACCTCTGGGGTCCTCTTTATCGGTGTCTGGTGTGCTGAGAGACCTCTGCAAAAAGGAAGATGGATAACGAGGTCAGAGTAGTTGAACATTACAGCTAAGAACAACGTCAACCCTTGTGGAACCACAGAGCTGCAGATATTCGCATGAATTTACGGTTATTGAAGCACTGATAATCATACTTTTTGCTTCCTCATCACGCGTTTAGATCGTGTTTTGTTTCGATGAATAATTAAGACTGATTATTTTGTCCTTGACGTTTTTTAATGCAGACATCGTTTTATATATATTACGAATGTTTTATACATTTAATCAATATAAATGTGGTGAAAATATTCAAAGTTCCTTCGTGGACATTGAAGCAAAGAAACGTTTATGACATATATGGAAGAAATTCATCGGAAAAGCCCTAATAAAGCTGACCAACCGTTAGGTTTAGTCAAAGTGATACACTCGGTAGCATTGTGTTGAATGTACGTTCCAGGAACCATGTCTGTTTACAACCATTCGACCGTTTGTTCCATACTCTATGTATTGCTGATTTTAATATATTATGAGTGAGTGAGTGAGTTACAGTCACATCGGCAGTATTTCACCCATATCGTGACTAAAAAGGTTATAAATGTTTAATACATACAGTTAGATAATATCCAATGCAGTCAAAGGACAGTAAAACAAATAGATTATCACAGACTGTGTATAAAACTAGTGTGTTAATACAAAACGACATCACTATAGTTAACGATACATGACAACAACAGGATATTGATCGCCAACAACTCAAGGTAGATCAGCTTACTAGGGTCCATGTGGAGTTACAGTACCTTGGCTACCTGCATGAACCCCAGCATCATCTCCTCAGTTATTGGCGATTGTTCACAGACTAGCCAAATTAAGAGAACATATACATGTTTTCTACGATTAAAACCAGAGCAGAAAAATAGTACTTTGAAAGATGTTGTCTTACATACCATACCCTCTTCGAAGGACAATAATTTTACGTTACTTCAACTCCCTTAGAGGGTATAGCCATTAACAATCGCAGTTATCAAACTTAATCTACCAATATAAATATGATACAAAAATATGATACAAATCTATTCTTTTCAAAAGCATAATATTATGTAAGACGAGTATATGGATGGATGACAACTTCTTGTTTATTGTATAACACAACGTTTCTGGGCTACTTCTTGAACCTTCTTCAGGTGATAATATTATGGCGGCACGAACATTGTTAAAAAGATCCTTTAGATATGATATATATGAAAACTAGTGGGGAAGATAAAGTAAGAGCAAAACATTTCATGTTACAGCCACAGAGAGTCATCTTGTAATGCGTACAAAGCTGGCTTTGTATTCTGGTGTTACTAACCATCATATGTTCGTCATCAGGTCTGTGTCTCCAGAAGTATTGTCTTACGTAGAGAGGGTTGTTGTTCGCCTTGTTCCGACCTGCAGGATTCAAGTCAGTTGTAACATGTATCTCCAGAAGCAATGTGAGTAATGGAAGGTGGTCATATTTAGCAGCTTGACGATAATGTGTTTATACCTTAATAGGCTGATATGGTCACATACCTGAGGCTAGACTGAGAGTAACCCCCAGCACCTGCACGATGAGAAATCCGAAACACTGGTAAAGAGTGTAGGAGAGGCTGTAAAAGTAGTCGAGACCTGACCTGTTAAGAAAACACATAAGAATTTGGACTGGAGTAACAAATTAGAATAACAACACATACAGCCCTGGTACATTCTAGGATGCAGCACCACGTCCTTGTGGTTGGGGGAACGGTAGAGAATGCATCATACAGCCGCAAATGGCAATTCTGTTTATGAGCAGATTGGTAATTTTGAAATACAAAATAACATTTTCCATTTGTCCATTTTCCGACGAAACAGATTCCACTGGGCGTAAATGGCAAAACAGCTGTGAAATAATATGAACTTATCACTGAACATCAGTCGTGACACCGTGTGTTCTCTAGCCCCACTCACACATGGATTATCATAGTTTATTGTTTGAACACCATTAAATACCACATCCCGTGGTATCACGCACTTTTGCAAATATTTTCGATGATATTATTTCTCAGGAAGGCATACTCCCGACAATTGTTCCAAGGAGGCGAAATGGTGAATATGCACATATACTATCAATGAAAAGCATGTTTCCTTTCAGAAGTTTCACATACTTACCCAGCAAATACCTCCTGATTATGATTGGTTGAATTCAGTATGGTTATGGTGTGCGGCACAGTGAGGTTGACACTCGGGCAGTGATCTGTCGGGGCAGGGGGGAGAGGAGGTGTCTGCCTCACCCCTGGGGAAACACTGGCACCGACCACCAACCACGTCAGAAAACTCAATCCAACCAACAGTGCAGCAATGGCACTCTGGAAAGAGTTTGACATGCTTAATAGTTAAAAAATGTTAAAATGCGTCAAGTGTCGATAGTTACAAATGTCTCTATATATACATATATTACCCTCCCCCAGAAGAAGTGATATGTAATAACACATTATCAATATATACGTACTCTTTTATTGACAAATGGGAAGAGGACACCGAGATAAAACAGGCTGCTTGTTGGCCCAGATATAATTGACGAAGCACTGAAATAGATCTGAAACAGAATCTTTCTTTAGAGTTCAAAGACAACTGTGTAACAATATTACCAAGGAATCAGACAACAATACGTGTTAGTGAGAGAGTAACATAGTTGAAGTATATTTTCACCTGGAGTATTGTGATGGATTTAATGGAGGCCACAAATATCGCCAGGCAACAAATCACAACTCCCCACGCCACCACTGAGGAGAGAAAAGCCAATTTCAGTGCATCTCATCTCCAATATGTCATGATTTTACGTTATCCTTCTTCAACATAGAAATAGTTTTATTAACATCCGGAATGAAATGACACCTTGCTTGCTTCCTTTCTGTAATTGATGTTAGAGATATTTTAATAAGGTACATGTAGGTTACAGTTTACTATAATATAACCATTCAGCTGACTTTTGTTAAAAGGGACTATCAAGTACATGCCCTATTTTTGATACTTAGGTATTCAAACCTTAATAAACTATACTGAAACAACTTTTTGACTGGTTTCACCTGCTAATTTGGCGACTGCCATTTGTTTAAACTCCGACATAGAAGGACATTGGGGCTTTACAAAGTCCTCCCATGTGATGTTTGACAGAGCTGATAGTCCAGACGATAACGAACTGAAACATATGAAATATGTTTTACCCAGTTAGTCACTACATACTTAGTCAAATGGTATGAAGTTATATATTTTATGTACGACTCTAGAATGCTTCGCTGGACGAACGACAGAGCTGGTCCTTTTTTCTGCGATAAAATTCACCTTTAGAGTTGTATGCACAATAAAGGTTGACGTCATGAAATTATTCACTGGTGAAGCTGGACCCCGAGTTGGAATTGTAAACATCCTATAATTCAGCTGGTGTGTCTATCGGTGTCATTCAGCAAGTGAACCCCATCTTCAGCCTTTCTCAGAGGACTCTAAGTTGGAAATGTATTGAGAGTATCTCAAGCAAAGGGAACATCTTGACCAGTATCTGTGCCATGAATTCGAAAACGCCTGGCTTGCCATAAGACTATAGTGTTCTTTATACACACAGATTATATGTTCAATTCATTTATTTAGTTAACGGTGTTACACATGATGAGTAAAGCACTCTGCACAAGTAGTTTCCTTGGAGAGGTAGTGCATATTAGTTCTAAATTTGAGAAAGAGTACTGTACAATTTTGGGTTTGAAGAGATACTTTTCAGAAATTCAGATGTGATCAATTTCTTTGTGGCACAAACCCTTTGAACATTCCACAACTGAACTGCGCCAGTTTTAATCTGTATTATTTAAACTGTATAGTTTTAAATCCTTTAATATTTCTTGCAGCTTTTAGCTAGCCATTGTGCAGAACATATATAGGTACTTTCAAAACATTCAGTAAGTCTATAATAAGCAATTATCATTACATTAGTTTTGCATACATTTTGTATTTTCAAATAATTGTATAATTGCTATTGTGAATATTCTTTCAAGTTTACTTTATTGTTGGAATAAACAAGTTTGGCCAAGTTTTACAAGGAGGGTTTTTCCCAATGTACTGAAGTCTGTTATCTCCTTAGGTTACTTAATATAGCAATGTTTTGTGTCGAGTGATTAAACTGAACCAAATTTATATAGATACAAACCTATACTCATTCGTGTGTGGCATTTTCGATAACCACAAATACGCATGATATAGAAGACTTACTTTACTCCAAACTAGACCTTTCATGGGTTTTACTTTGTATAAGCACTGTTCGACTCTTAACGTAAGTATGTAGGCGCGCAGTTAAGTAGAACAACCGGTCTTTTTGCAGGGCATCGTTTAAGGGAAGAGTTACTTTACACTTAATACTTTATGGGGTGGAGCAAACAACCCTTCTTAATTAGTTATACATACTGTAAGTCATGAACACATGCAAACACGTGGTTGTACATGTCATGTGGTCAAACTGACCTGAGAGAAGCACTGAAGAGTGCTGCAAGAAACAGGCCTGGCATTCCTGGCAGGTTCCGGAAAATGTCGATGATCATGAAGGGTAAAATCTGTAGAACAGTGAGAGAAATGACTTGAGGTTTACCATATGCGAGGCAGTATGATCATAGGAACTGAAGTTGAGTAAAAATGCAAACGTTTGATTGAAGAATCAACGACAAAATAGGCTCACGGATAGGAATATAGGGTGTAACCAGAGATTATAACATTACGAAACTGCCAGGAATATGTTTTGGAAACTAGGAACGTTTCAGCAAACCTCCATGTACAGGTTGTTACTAGACGACCTTCAATAATCATTGCAATGGTTCTATGAAACCATCAAAATCGGAAGAAATTTACAAAGAGTAACATGTACCTGATCAAAGCTGTCGATTTGATTTGATGCAATGGGATCACATCTTTTGTAGTCGTAGTAACTATAAGCCACAAGACCGCTGAAGATTGTGAGAGATCCAAACACCAGAGAGCACGTTAGCCAAAGCAGCATCGCCCTTTCAGAAAACATATACTTTTGTTTGTTTCTTTTTGCAAACTGTGTCACAGTCATGACACAAATATATTTATAATTATATGGTATAATTTGCTTGTATGTAAGGTCATAAATGGAGGCATACAGACATGCAGACATACATACTAACGTAACTTTGTATGTATGTCCTACTCCATCCATACATCCATCCATACATACATACATACATACATACATACATACATACATACATACATACATACATACATACACACATACATACATACATACATACATACATACATACATACATACATACATACATACATACATACATACATACATACATACATACATACATACATACATACATACATACATACATACATACATACATACATACATACATACATACATACATACGATCTCGCGTGTTTGAGTGACTTTGTTGACGCAATACGTTGAAGAAATGCAGGTTTCACGAGCCAACCCATTCCAGCGAATACCCTGGCCACGCCAACGTTCCATACTGTATGGCGAATTGTTGGGTCAATATCAAATCTGAAAGTAATAAGGCAATGGGGAGTTGCTTCATGATAAGGGTAGAATCTGAAACAACATCCAAACTTCTGGGACCATATTGTTCCCAGCGAGACACATGGGGAATGTGCACATACCCAGCTGCTCATCATGGCACACAAGGTCAACTATGCAAGAGCACAATATGTCCGTGTTATGATGTTCAGTGTTATGTTTATAAATCCGTAAATAAAAGAGTGTGTGCGTGAGTTTAGGTTTACGCCGCACCCAGAAATATTCCAGCTATATGGCGGCAGTCTGTAAATAGTCGAGTCTGGACCAAACAATCCAGTGATCAACAGCATGAGTATCGATCTACGCAATAAGGTACGATGACATGTGTCAACCAAGTCATCGAGCCTGACCACCCGATCCCGTTATTCGCCTCTTACGACAAGCAGGGGTTGCTGAAGGCCAATTCTAACCCGGATCTTCACGGGTCGTAAACCAGAAAATCCCGAATGTGTGTATCTGCCTCGTTCACACATCCAACAAGGGTACATTCATTCACAGACTAGTTTCCGGTCATCAGTTATGCACAAACCTGCGTTGGGAATCACGTAAATCTATTTTACTTTATACTTACATGAAGGTCAGTCTGCCACTGTTTGCAGCAGCATCATGGACTGTTTGTACCCCTCCGACGTCGATTGTTCCCTGTTGTCAAATTGAAATCAATTAATCAATGGTTTGTCTAAGGAATTCTTGAGGCGAGGAATAGTGGTACCTAAACACTTGAGAACATTTACTTACATATTGAGACACATGTTAGCGGTCTTAGAAATGCTATAGAAACGGATCACAGATAGTGAATACACTTGTAGCATCATAGTCTCTATTCACCTTTAATCTCAATTTCAAGGATATTTGTTCTTTTCTTCACAAACTAATAGTAAAAAAATATTTAGTTTAAAAACTAATGATGAACTATCACGCCATAGAGATCTATATCATTTCCTCGTAACCTGTTGAATATTTTCACAGTTTGGAACAAGCTATTTCTTGGAAATCAACATGGTATAATGTCCAACTGTGGCGGTGACAAGTTGTGAAAATAGCGACAAGAATTGTGAATGAATGTATTTCTTCAACAATTTTATTAAATAGCAAGCCTTTTGTTATCTTGAGTTGTGCTTATGTAGCTGTTGTGAACTGCTGTGAACGCCAGGCTACCCACCCTGAACGCCGACCTTGCAGAACGTGAACTACGTCAATTACTATTTGTTGTCCATGGTTGTTCATGGTAACGTCGCTACTTACCACCTGAATGATTCCACAGATGAACCACAATCAGATATATGATGATTTCATGGGTACTTGAGCAGACTGGCACAAGTTATTATGTATGTATGGAAGCCAGTTAACCCTTTAACTGCAAGGGCACTGGCACGGTGGTTAGTATGCATTTTACTTAATTTAGTTTGTTCTAAAATTGATATCGTCGTGTTTGATAAGCTGTTGTTTTCACGTTGTTGAAAGCAATTCTACTTGGTTATTGGCAACCATTGTTATACGCACTGATGTAAAGGCTATTGGTGGACCTATACGCAAGGTTTTGTTTGAAATTGCTTAATTCGAAAGGGTATCAAAAAGAAAAAAATCTAACCGTAGGACAAAAAATCCTGTGAATGTGAAGTAGAATCGTCAATCACGGCCTCAAATAACATTCCCACCAATGACTTATATAAATGTCTCCAGAATGTACATGCACAAAAAAGATCCTAATATACTATGAATATTTGCAGCACAACTTCTAACCCGATCTGTGTTCCATTCAAGAACGGTGAAAATGACACCCTGATTTGGTGTAACAAATAGAAAGTAGCAGTAAATCTCACCTTTATTGTAACTGTTAGCACTCCAATAATCATAAGTATATATTGGATGACATCTGTCCATATAACAGCTTTCAGGCCACCCTGGTAACACACAATACTGTGCACTACATGTCACAATTTAATCAAAGGGGATACATATTGCTACACAATTACTCATCAATATCGTCTCCGTTATCTTCATTACTCTGTGTTGAAGAGTGAGTGAGTGAGTGAGTTACAATTTATCGTCACATCGGCAATATTTCGGCCATATCGTGACGAGAACATGTAATTGTTATACATAGTAATTTATGGTCTGTGTTGAAGAAATAACAAATTGCGTGGATTTCAGCGTGGGCACTGGGAGTTGAAGAGCATTCAGATCAGCATTACGAATGTAAATCCACGATGATCTGTTGTTGATATTCTATAGATCTGGTTGTTTCTTAAAGCCAAAACAACTACATACATTAAGGTGTACCAGCTAAAGAATAATTGTGTTGTTTGTACGTTTCCTTGTAAACAAGGATGGCAGGTGACAAAAAGACCAACCGATTCTGTCATCTAATTGTCTCAAGAACACCTTTCACTTAGATAAGACAAAGTTCTCCCATGATTCTCCTGACGCAACCTGCCATGTAGATCCTTACATCGGCGTTTATAGATTCTTCGAAACCACGTTATTTTTCTCTCAATGGTGCCATGATGTACTGAAGGAACTCACAACAGCAGTGTAGAGAACAGCTGCCACTGATGTCAGCAGGACTGACCACGTCGTGGAGATGCCGGTCACTGGGCAATATACACAAAACAGTGTTACATGCATGTTACTGTAACGTATACTCTGGTTCAACGCCTCTGTCAGCAAGGCTCCAGTTACATTAAAGGGGTATGTAAATATGTCAGCATGGACCAGGCAACCTTGTGACCGGGACAAGATAGTATGCAATAACCCGAGTCATAGAGTCAACCGATCCTTGAGTCGCCTTCTTATAGCAGACACATGTTACCATTTGTAACATACCAAAGCAAGACCCCAATTCTAACGGTCTAAACTTTTACATACCGATATGAGACATGAGTCCAAACTTTTTCCGACTACATGAGGCCTGTTACATTGTTGCATTAGGGACCTTAAAGGCATGATTTGCAACAAAATGATTTGTTTTTAAGTGAGTCATCCTTGCTGTTATAGGCGTTTTACAGAGACACACACAGAGATTCAATCCAATATATTTATTCTTTTTCACGATACTGAGACGGATCATTAGGAAAGTTGTGTAAGTGTGGGACACACATTTACGGGATAGATAGATAGTCAGGTATCGTTAGTATATAACTGGTAAAAGTCGTATACAGGTGATATACAAATGATGGGCAAGTGCCCAAAACGATTGACACAATTGTCAGTTGAGATAAAAGAATAAATAGAACACCGATTCCGGCGGTGCTCTGACGTAGCTTCTGGTTTTGTGCGGTGCATCGAGTCACAAATAAAAAAGAGTGTGCGTGAGTTTAGGCTTACGCCGCACCCAGAAATATTCCAGCTATATGGCGGCGGTCTGTAAATAGTCGAGTCTGGACCAAACAATCCAGTGATCAACAGCATGAGTATCGATCTACGCAATAAGGTACGATGACATGTGTCAACCAAGTCAGCGAGCCTGACCCCCCGATCCCGTTATTCGCCTCTTACGACAAGCAGGCGTTGCTGAAGGCCAATTCATCAGTTATGCAGAAACCTGCGTTGGGAATAACGTAAATCTATTTTACTTATACTACATAAAGTTCAGTCTGCCACTGTTTTTGCAGCAGCAGCATGGACTGCTTGTACCTCCGACGTCGATTAATTCCCTGTTGTCAAATCTCGCAATCAATCAATCAATGGTTTGTCTAAGGAATTTGGAGACGAGGAATAGTGGTACCCCAACACTTGAGAACATTTTACCTCCACATTGAGACATATGTTAGCTTTCGTCTTAGATATGCTATAGAACGGATCACACATAGTGAATACACTTGTAGCATCATAGTTCTATTCACCTTTAATCTCAGTTTAAAGGATATTTGTTCTTTTTTCTTCACAACTAATAGTAAAAAAATATTTAGTTTAAAAACTAATGATGAACTATCACGCCATAGAGATCTACATCATTTCTCGTAACTCCGTTGAATATTTTCAAGAAGCCGTCCCAATTGTGAATTCACTGTATTTCTTCTTCAACAATTTCAATAATAGCAAGCCTTTTGTTATCTTGAGTTGTGCTTTTATGTAGTTGTTGTGAACTGCTGTGAACGCCAGGCTACCCACCCTGAACGCCGACCTTGCAGAACGAACTACGTCAATTACTATTTGCTTGTCCATAGTTGTTCATAGTAACGACGCCACTTACCACCTGAATGGGATTCCACAGATGAACCACAATCAGATATATGATGGTTTCGGTACTTGGAGCAGACTGGCACAAGCTATTATCTATAGATAGCCAGTTAGACAGTAGCTCTATTGTATTTTAATGACCTCCCGTCCTCGACTCGTGACGTTTTTATTACTTCGAGGTTGATTCGTCAAAGGA